ACAATGGGGTGCCCCCACAATACGGTGTCCCCACAACAGGTTGTCCCCATAATGGGGTGCCCCCACGCTGGGTGTCCCCACGCTGGGTGTCCCCACGGGTGCGCTCACCAGCACTGGCGCAGCAGCACCTTGAAGCCGTCGGGGCAGCCGGAGGGGACGGGCAGGTGGAGGCTGTTGCTGCCCACCCCCCAGATGATGGCCGACGAGTCCACGTCCTTGTAGGGGATCTCGCCCGTCAGCAGCTCCCACAGCACCACCCCGAAGGACCTGGTGGCACCCAGCACCCGTGGCGCCGTCACCCGTGGCACCCACCACCCACAGCACCCATCACCCGCTGTCCCCTGGGCCCCTTTGCCCTGTCCCCTCCCTGCCTCTGCCCACGCTGGCGTCCCCAGTGTCCCCTGTTGCTCCTGTGGTCCCTGATGTCCCTGCAGTGTCCGTCCCAGTATCCCCAGTGGCCCCACTTCTGGTCTCCCGCAGTGGCCCTGAGGCCTCATGTGTCCCTGATGTCCCCTCAACGTCCCCAGTTCCTACTGTCCCCAACGCCTCCTGTGCCCCCCGGTGTCCCCATCGCCTCCCAAGCCCTCCTGTACTGCTGCGTCCCCAGTGCCACCTCCCCAAGGTCCCCGTGTCCCCGTGTCCTCACCAGATGTCAACCTTCTCGGAGACGGGCTCGTTGCGGATGACCTCGGGCGCCATCCAGGCCACGGTGCCGGCGAAGGACATCTTGGTGCTCTTGTCAATGAGCTCCTTGGAGGTGCCAAAGTCCGAGATCTTCACCACGTCGTCGTAGGTGATGAGCATGCTGGGGGGCACCCGCTCAGCGCCACGCCAGCGCCACGCCAACGCCACGGGCACGACACCGCCACGGGCATGCAACTGCTACGAGCGTCATGGGGTCACGGCTGTGCCACCAGCACGGACACAGCGTCGTCACGGACGTGGCACCGCCACGTCACCAACATGGACGTGGCACCACCGCGGGCACGCAACCGTCATGAGCATCCCCGCCACCACGGACACTGCACCGCCACCACCGTGAGGGTGGCACCACCACGGTCATGCAATTGCTACAGACATGGAACCACCAAGGACGTGTCCCTGTCACGGGCATGTCACTGCCATGGTCACGCCGCCACCACAGACGTGGCACTGCTACGGGCACGCAATTGCCGTGAGCGTTGCATCACCACGGACATGGCGCCACCAAGGATGTGCCAACGTCAAGGACGTGGCACCACCGTGGTCACAGGTTCACCATGGGCAGGACACCACCAAGGATGTGGCACCGTCAAGAACACGTCACTGCCATGGACGTGGCATCGTCATGGGCACAGGACCACCATGGACATGGTATCGCCAAGGACTTGACACCACCAAGGACATGTCAATGCCAGGGACATGTCACCACCACGGACACAGCACTGCCATGGGCATGGCACCACCAAGAACATGTCACAGCCACTGATGTGTCACCACCAAGGTCACTGCTCAACCATGGTCAGGGCACCGCCATGGACATGTCACTGCCAAGGACGTGGCACTGCCACAGACATGTCACCGCCGTGGACACGTCACTGCCAAGGACATGGCACTGCCACAGACATGTCACCGCCGTGGACACGTCACTGCCAAGGACATGGCACTGCCACAGACATGTCACCGCCGTGGACACGTCACTGCCAAGGACATGCCAATGCCAAGGACGTGGCACCACCACAGACACGTCACCACCACGGACATGACACCGCCAAGGACACGTCACCACTACGGACATGACACCGCCACCAGCACGCAGCCACCGAGGACAACCACGAGCATGGCACCGCCACGATCATGCAACCGCCACATGCATGTCCCCACCACGGGCACGGCACCCTCATGGGGGGCACCCACCCCAGCACCCATGGGTGCTCCCCGAGGCCCCCGTCCCCGCTCACTTGGGCGACTTGAGGTCGCGGTGGATGATCTTGTGGAGGTGCAGGTAGTTCATGCCGCCGGCGATGCCCATGGACCAGTCGACGAGGAGGGAGGGGGTGACCTTGCGCCCGGCGCGCAGCACCTCGTACAGCTGGCCCTGGGCGCAGAACTCCATGATGATGCAGTAGCAGGGTGCCTGGGTGCACACACCCCTGCGGGCACAGCGGCACCCTCAGCACCCACTGCCCGCCCGGCCGGGGCACCCGGCAGCACCCAGCGGCACTGGGGCACCCAACCGAACCAGAGCACCCAACTTCTCCATGACACCCAACCTCACCAGAGCACACAACTTCACCAGGGCACCCAACTTCTCTGAGGCACCCAACCAATCCAGGACACCCAACTTCTCTGGGGCACCCAACCAATCCAGGACACCCAACTTCTCTGGGTTACCCAACTTCACAAAGCACCCAACTTCTCCGGGGCACCCAATCTCCCCAGGGCACCCACTTAATCCAAGACACCCAACTTCACCAGGACACCCAACTTCTCCCAGGCACCCAACTTCTCCGGGGCACCCAACCAATCCAGGACACCCAACTTCTCCAGGGCACCCATCTTCTCTGGAGCACCCATCTTCTCCAGGGCACCCAATCTCTCCAGGTCACCCACCCAATCCAGGACACCCAACTTCTCTGAGTTACCCAACTTCACAAAGCACCCAACTTCTCCGGGGCACCCAACCAACCCAGGGCACCCATCGGCACTCAGGTACCCGGCAGCACCCAGCAGCACCAGGACACCCATCTGCACCCGAGACCCCCGTTAGCACTAGGAGCACCCACCTGCCCCACAGGCACCTCCTGCACCCCGTCGCCCGGTAGCGCTGGGACAGGCCTGTCCCCTGCGCCACACGCGGGACAAGCCAGCGCGCCCGTGGCCGTGCCCCGTGTCCCTGCCGTGTCCTGCCCACCCGTGGCTGTGCCACGCTGGTGTCCCTCATGCACGTGCCGTGAGGTGTCACACGCCCGCGTCGTGTCCATGACCTCTACACCCGTGTCCATGCCGTGTGCATGCCGTGTGCATGCCGTGTCCATGCCCATGCCATGTCCATAACTCATGCCACGTCCATGCCACGTCCATGCCGTGTGCATGTCCATGCCCATGCAATATCCATGCCGTGTCCGCGCCCTGTGCCCGTGCCGTTCCTCATGCCTCATGCCCACGCCCATGGTGTCCTCCATGCCCATGGCGTGTCCATGCCCCCATCCGCCAC